GTGGCCTCCCTAATCTTCCGCTTCTTTGTGTCGTCACCGTATGGAGCTTTCCTTTCTGTTGCTATCCAATTGATCTCGTGTCCAGTCGGTGCGATGTGTTCCGCTAGTTCTGATCTTTCAGTATCCATTTTGCTGCAGAGCTTCTGACGTTCCTTGATTCGTGTGCTAATTTTTCTCCCTGTTTCGCCAATATATTTTTGTCGTCAGGCGCCAATTGATATACAGTAAACTCCTAAACGATCCAATTTGACTACTATTTCATGTTGCGTTAGTAGACTTGTGAAAAGTGTTGATTGCTCTTTCATGGCCACCTGAGTATTCCATTTACTCAATATTGGCCGTAGTTTTTGAGTTAGCTCGCAGGAAGGTAGGCATATCCACTTTTTTGAATCCTTCATCGTCCTTACTGTTCTTCATAGTCCCCATTCTGCCATAGGCTTTTCACAGCAAGTATGTTTGAAACTCAAGAAATTAAATGAGAGGCCATCAAACACGGTCAAACATTCGTATGAGTTTTCTGAAAAAATCAAAAACATGGAACTTGAGCAAACAGACTTATTGGTAAGTTTCGATGTGGAATCCATGCATACAAATGTCTCTGGAGAGAATGCGCTAACGGCCCTGCTGGAAATGCTGGACTGAGAGGAGGATAACCTGGGATCACAACGGATCGGTAGGTAGTTGTTGACCAGATTAATCAACTTGACAATAAGGGCAACATATTTCACATTCAACGGAAACATCTATGAACAAATATTTGGACTTCACATGGCATCGCCGCCCTCACCACCTTTGGCCAATGTATACATGAACAAAATAGAAGAGGGCTTCAAGATGGCATCGCTACAACCGGCAGTGCTCATGCGGTACTGGGATGATTACTTTGCACTTTGGGCACATGGTTGAGAAAAACTGGAAGAGTTTCTGAAGTTTGTAAACCAGATTGTTGAAAAATTCAATTCACGATGGAAGTAGAGAAAGATGAGCATTGAAGTGACTCGCTCTAATGGGAGGCTCAAACAGAAATTGTCCAGAAATAAGTCCTATGCTGGGATAATACTCAATTTCCGGTCCCATCATAATTACAGGTTAAAGATAGGAATGATGTGAAGCATGATCATCCAAGCCTATGCTTAACTGATGTAGAATTCTGGGACGAGGAGTTTGGAAAATTGACGGGGATATTCCTCGTCAATGGCTACCGAATCGAAGTGATACAAAGAAAAATACGGGCCGTGAAAAGCAGAGGGCAGAACGGGGACTATGAAAGAACAGTAAAGACGATGAAGGATTCACAAAAGTGGATATGCCTACCTTTCTTAAAACTAACTCAAAAAGGAAATGGAATATTTAGATGGCCATGAAAGAGCAATCAACACTTTTCACAAGTCTACTAACGCAACATGAACGAGTAGACAAATTTGATCGTTTAGGAGTTTACTGTATATCATTTGGCGCCTGACGACAGAGATATATTGGCGAAACAGGGAGAAATATTAGCACACGAATCAAGGAACAAGAAAATGGATACCAAAAGATCAGAACTAGCGGAACTCATCGCACAAACTGGACACGAGATCAATTGGAAGGCAATAGAAAGAAGAGCTCCATGCGGGGACAACACAATGAAGCGCAAGATTAGGGAGGTTGTTGACATGCTTGCGGAGAACAATTTAATGAACAGGAGATTGGAGAAAGGTAGAGTTAGCGATAACTTTGCCCACTGCCTAAGCAAAATCGTGAAGAAAAATCGAGCAAGACCAGCAAAAAAGGGACGCCTGGAGCAGGGATCTGCTGCTAACCGGAGAAAAGGGTCTGCGATGACGAAAGGGGGGGGATTAGGGGTATTGGGCAATAAAGCGAAGACGTTGTCAGTGAGTGATGTCCATTTCGAAACAAACCAGTACAACTTTGGGGGCCTGGCAGTCAGGGAGCTGGGCAGACGGATAAGCAAACCGTCATAGAAA